GAAGTATTAATGACATCTTTAACAAAACTAAACATATAATATAATTTTAAATCGTACTTTTTTATAAAATAATATCAATAATTAACATAAAGTCACATTTCTTTAGGTCACTAATAATCACAAATTCATTTTGACAACGATAATTCTTCTGATTCACTTGAAATTTTTTTATTCTTCTCCTTCTTTTTTTCAATTAAAGCTTTTTTACTAGCTTGTAACTCTTTTTTATTTTTTTAATTGCTTAGCAATTTTTTTTTCTAATGATTCGTTCTTTGATATAACCGTTCACTAAAAAAATTAGAACAAAATAAAATTTAATAATCAAAAAAGATTTTAAGTATTATTTTAATTATAAATATACATTTTATAATGATTATTTTTATATTTACAAAATATCGAATGACTAAAGTACTTTAAATACTTGACAGATTTAATTTTGGAGTTAAGAAGTTAGTATTATAAATATACGGTGATTAATTGGATTGTGATAAAATCAGAGGGTCTAATAAATGACCGAATGAATTTTTTACTGGGTAAAGGGCTTCTGACGGATCCAATAGTTGACCGGTCTTAAAATAATATTAAAACTTATAATTTAACTTTATTTTTTCAAAAAAGTTGGAATCTGATCTTTAATTAACATAATAAAACTAAAATATTTTATATTATGCCGATAAATATCACTAAATTAATGATGAAATGCACTCACTCTCTAATAATTGTACGCTAGTTATTTTTGACCGCTTTATGGCTGGTTGCGTTGTAAACAAACTCAGAATATTTTTTTAAAGCTATAATCACTGCGCAATTAATTGCGTAATTTTTTATTATGATGATTAAATGTCATATATTTTTATTTTAATACTTTGAGAAAAAAATACCCTTGTAAAATATTAATTAATTAACTTTTTTATACATCGGTCAACTAATTGGTGACCGGTCAACAACTGGTGCATTTACCCTATTTTTTTTTTGCCATAATTTATTTGTTATAAAATTATTAAAACTATTAAATTAATTTTACATAAATTATATGTGCAATTTCTTAAAAATATTTTTTTAATTCTTATTTAATTTAATTAAAAAAAAAAATTTTAATTTTCCCGGGAATTTTAAATAATTTAACATTCGCGCCATCTATTATTAACTCTCGGAACTAAAAAAAACTTAGCCAAAAAAATTAATTAAATATTTTCTAACCCCTATTTATAATCTCCATTTTTTTTCTAAATCATCCAAAATCATCATATATGTAAAAACGTATTAAAGAAAAAAAGGACAATAGTTTTCGCAACACCACCAGAGACGGATCGAGTGGTTGTGACTTATTTTTCTGTGCCGACTCATTGCGTGATATACCTATATATTCACACACATACACACATTATTTTATCTTACTAAAAAAATTGATATATCAAGTTTCACACAAAGTTTCATTTTCAAAATTAAAAAGTAAAAAAGCGTTAAAAAAAAAAAAAACTACGCAGTATAGTTTTTAACGCATGGGATATAATTTTACAATAATTATAAAAAATATATATGTATTCTTATATTTAATAGCAGCTTATTTGTGTAGTGTGTAATATAACCTCAAAAATATCCAAAATGATTATCACGTTGAAAAATTTACAGCAACAAACTTTTACCATTGAAATTGATCCTTTAAAAACGGTAAAATTATTTTTTTTTATTTTATTTAATTATTAATAATTTTTTTTTATCACTAATCTATATTTTTTATGTTTTAGGTGAAAGATTTAAAGGATAAAATAGAAGCACAAGAAAAATATCCTGCTTTGCATCAAAAATTAATTTATGCTGGTAATTTTATTTATTGTCTATATTATTAAAAGTATAAGAAAACTTTTGTGATGATAAGTATTTAGGCTGGATTCAAAAATGCTTTATCTCTAGATACAAAATTAAGAAATGACCATTTATCTTGTGAACTATTGACATTTTTAAAGATATAAGCTCATCCCGATGTTGCACTCATCGAGACCTTTCATTTGAGTACCCACATCATTTTTCATATATTTTATATATTTATATATATTATATATATAATATATGAAAAATATAATGAAATAGCATGTGGGTATTCAAATAAAACGCTCTTGAGTAAATGTAATATCGGGATGAGC